TCAGGCTTTGTGTATGGCTGGAAGGTACCTTTTTTCAGGTTGAGGGTGACGTCTAGGAAGTTGATGATCTGTTTGTTGGCTTCTATCGTGATGCGTAGTCCGTTGTGGCTAAAAATTTGACATATTTTCTTTTTGATATTTTCGGTGACTCTTGGTGGTGAATTTGAAATGGCTAGTCCGTCGTCTCGGTATAGTCCAACATTGATGTCGAGGTGTTGTAGTTGTGACAGCAGAAAGCTTCCAACCAACTCGCATGTTTCAGCACCGTCGTAGCTGCCCATTGTAACATCAAACGTGGTGTTATTTTTCTTTTTCCATGGTTGATTTTTGTGAACAAGGATGGAGTTTTTGGCATGAATGATGATGTTACGTTCGTCAGTTGTGATATTGTCGTAGTCTGAGGCGAAGTCGAGTGCTCTGTTTAGGAGTTCTTGGCTGATTGAAGGGTAGAAGTCTACGACATCGAAGCTGATGAAGGTGTTGTTGTGTTTGCTTTCGGTGGCTTTAAACCATTCGATTACCGATGTTGTGTTCTTCCATTGATTGAATTTGTGCGAATTGGTGATTTTGTGGTTGATTCGATCGAGTATCGTCTTGCTGATTTTGCCTATCTCAGACTTGGTGGGGTTGATTAGCCGGCAGGCTGGTTTGTTTGTGAAGTTTGGTTTGTGATCTTTAAGTGTGATGAATGCGTCTTTGTTGGCTGTAGAGTCTACTCTGTCGTCGATACCCAGTTTTGCTGCGATGATTTTGTTTTTTGCATGGATTTCCTTTGTGGTGCTGGGTTGTGCTTGTTTGTAAGACTTTGTGATGTTTTGGTGCAGGAGGTCGTTGTATGTTGCTGGCTCGAGTTTGTAGAAGTTTGTTGTTTTGTCAGCGGAGGTAATCAGTTTGGTTTCGTCATTGATGCGTTTGGTGTCGTCTTTAAGTTTGTTCAGAAATGGATTGTTGAGTTGCTTGAATTTCGTTGATTGGATCATCTGTAGCATGTCGTCTTCAAATTCTTTTAGTTCTTCGATGGGGGGAGGGTTCTTTGTAGATTTGAAGCCGTATGTATTCTTGGTTGAAGTGGTCGCCTCGGGGTTGAGGAAGAAGAAAGCTTTCCAACGCATTCTCCGAAGAAACTGCTCGGTCTTTTCGATTAGGCGCTGTAGGTAGTCGTTGCGTGATGGTAGAGGAATATTCTTTGTTGAGTAGTCGAAGGTGAATTTCTCCATTGCGGATTATCGAAGAGTGCTCAACAAGCCTTAGCTTGGAGCGAATTTAGAAATTTGTCTTTTGATACTTCCGTAGCACAGTGCTCAATACGTTAGCACGTAGAGCGTGATATATCATAGATTGAAGAAAGTGAAACTACATGGTTTATCTCTACAAGCCTGTTTCGTGAGTAACTCACTCTTCAGGAGATGTTGATATACTGGAATATTCCTCGAATAAATAGATAATACGGTACAGAAGGTGTTACATAATGTGTAAGGTTATACAAAAGGTAAATTAGGGGCGGTACATAGAGGGATTTAGGTGTTACATAATAGTGTTTTGTTTCTATGGCGGCAAGAAGATACGAGTTCGTTTCGTTTGTTGAGTGTTGATAATTCGGGGTGGCAGATAATGAGGGTCTTTTCTTTAAGACAAAGGCTGCATCTTTTGTTTGAGCTGCTGTAGGATGGCTTTATTGAGAGGATGCGCCAGGAAATGGAGTGGTCGATTTTATTGTCTTTTAGGGTCCAGATGTATTTACTGAGTTCTGTGGAATTTCTGTGTTTTGCGTGACGGAAAGATGCGGTGTGATTTCTGTATCTTGTCTTGAATTCGTTTTCTGTAAGTCCGATGTATGTTTCTGTAGTTTCATTGTATCTGCGTGTGACGGTGGCTTGGTAAATGACTGATGATTGTAGGCAGTTCCCGTTGAGTGGACATGTGTTCGCTTGTCGGCAGTTGCATGTTTTGTTGACATTGGTATTTTCCGGGGTGGTGCTGGTGTCGTGTGACTTTAGGATGCGTTTGTTGTGACTGTCAATGGCTTGCTTGATGTTGTTCATGCAGCTGTAGCTGATCTTTAATGTGTTGCGGTTGAAGATTTTTCTGAGTTTGTGGTCTTTGTGGAAATGTTTGTCAATGAGGTTGAGGAATCTGTGTCCGATGTTGGTGCTGACGTTTTTGCTGAATAAGATGATAGGCTTGAGTAAGAGGGCATTTAAAAGGTAATTCCCAGCTACTAAAAATCCTTTCGTAACTGTCATTTCGTTTAGATCTTCTGCAAGCACATTGAAAATCGGCTAACTTCCGGCATAATAAATTTCTTTACAAGTTTTGAGAAATGTGGTCATGAACAAGACAGTACAGTCAGGATTTCATAAGAATCTCTTGATAATCACATATGGCCAATGTCATGGGTACTTCTATGAAAAGCTCTTGTCAGGATTTGTTGAATTAAAAAAGCTATTTACCTTCAATTGGAATGAACTAATTTTTTCCTTTTCTGCTCCAACAGCAACTTTTTGATGACATTTTATCCTTATCCAAATAATAAATTTTAACGGTTCTATTCTTTGAAACAATCGTTCTACTTTTTAGACTTCACACAAAATACTTGGATAAAATAACTATCTCAAAGAAGGAGCTACTGGTTTTGCGATCTCGGTGTCTTTATGTAACGCATTCACTTGTGAATATTTGTTTCTTAAATCACTTTTTACTCCAACTAATGCAAACAAACCTGTATCGTGACAACTTTCGGAGCCCTTTGGAGTTGTTCGGTTACGTCACTGAAGCTGAGTGAAAAAACAACTTCTCACCCCTATATTCAATTCTATTACCAAACTCTATAAAGATGTAATTCTAGAGGAATGAAATATGCAGATGTGTTTGAAAGTTTATGTTGTTCATCCGATCGGCAAAATCTGATATTGAAATTTTACAATCAGAAAGAGGAAACACGGTTTTGACAACAAAATTGATGTCAACTACCAAGTTTCTTTTCAACTTGTAAAAAGGTAGGTATCCTGTCGCTGTGTACGAAGAATACTGGTACTCTTAAGATGCTGTTGAAGACAGTTATGAATACGTCGAAATAAGTAAATTTTCTTCGTAAACACAAATTCATTTATTTGTTGCAAAAATAGAAGAGATGCGGTGAATTTCTTCATCGACAGGTCCGTCTAGAGTCAATGATTTCAGTAACTTGAGTGCGTTTTGAGGTAGCTTCAAGGTAGGAGCACATTTAAAGTCCCAAAACTATCGTTTAAACATTTTACATTATGAGCTTTTGAATACATATATATATATATATATATATATATATATATATGTATTCAAAAGCTCATAATGTAAAATGTTTAAACGATAGTTTTGGGACTTTAAACTCCCCAGTTGCTAGTTCTAAAGATTTTTAGAAGTATCTTAAGACGAACGCTGAAGAATAACAAGACAAATTTGCTCTGCTATCTTGTTCATTGGTGTCAACCATCGTGTTTACATCTTACGATGCATTTAAATTCACAATTAACGCGCTCTCTTTTAAATATACAGTCCCTGGTTCTGATTAACGCCACGAAAATTCTCCAATTTTAACTACCAATAAGAAGCAAGAATAACATGTGCAGTTTTACGTCAACTAAAGCTAATTAACAGCAATTTTTATGTAGAAATAACGCTGCATGCCTATAACACGCTGAACGCTTATAACTAAATTTACTTAAACATGTATCTGTAGCCAAGTTATAGAGTAAATAAGCAATGTTAAAGGTTCTACCGCGATCCTAACGAGTTCACCATGCGATCCATCTAAGCAAACCGCAGGAAAAGCAACTAATCACTACGCAATTATGGTAAGAAGAAAAATGCCCGAAAGCAATGGAAAAGTTCCGACAGATAGTATATAGAATCAAAGAAAACACTTTCGTAAGACGTTTCGCTTTCGCTTCATCAGCAATAACTTTACAAAATCAGAGGAGCCTACTTATCAACCTAAATTACAATAGAACACTACAATACAATAGAAACCTAAGGGGCACCTGCCTAATACAATACATATTGTCAAATGTGTTAGAATGCAAACTGTTATGGGGAACTGGGAGAGAAGTGAAAAGAAAGGTAGAAGAAAGAATGTGATGGAGATGCTGGTGTTGGCTGTCTCACAAGAGATAGATGAAAGCCATAAAAGCAAAAAACAAAATAACGAGAAGATAAGCTATAAACGAAAGAGCCGACATTAAAAATTAAAAATATAAAAAAAACTTTTAAAAATTTAAAACTGTAGAAGAATATATAAATGTCCTATGTATCTACCTGCCTAGTATTGAGACCCATCGGAAAGAAAGTATTCAAGCGATATTGCCAAAAACTTTCTCTCCTCCTATCATTACCTGTTAACCTATCTATGACCTTAACACTTATGTCATTCAGAAACCCCCGATGTCCTTCTTCAGAAAAATGTCTGAAAAATTCCATCTGGGGCACTGAAGACCCTAAATTAAACTTACGACTACACGCCTTGTAATTATTAAACCTAAGCCTAAAAGGCGTGCATGTGCTAACTACATACTGGACTCCACAGACATTGCACTCAATTAAGTACACAACATTGGACGAGTCACAGTTAAACGAATAGTTGATCTTATATTCTTTACCTGTAGTGCTAGATTTAAAATTATCGCTGTTAGACATGACTTTACACACTTGACATCTGGACTTCTTACAACACGAACTTCCCCTGTTATTATGTCCCTTTTCCCTCCCACTTGTAAGCCTAGCCCTCACCAAAATATCCTTAAGATTCTTACACCTCCTAAAAGCAACTACTGGTGGCACAGGAAACACCTCCTTGTGCTCTTCTGAACCAGTGAGCAAGGTATGGTGTTTCCTGGCAATGTTCCCCAAACCATTAAGTGCCGGATGGTATGTAGTCACGAGTGGAACCCTGTCAGCCCTCCCTTCGTTGGTTTTCCTACTTCCCGCTTTTCTACTTCACGTCTTACGAAAGTGTTTTCTTTGATTCTATATACTATCGTTTAAACATTTTACATTATGAGCTTTTGAATACATATATATATAGTTTGCTAGGAATAGGTAATTGGGGCAATCAATGGAGCGTATTTTATCAATCATTAACATATTTACTAATCTCATCAAACTGGAACACCATCGGAATTTTTTGGAAAGTTGCAAAGAGTGCAGTATTATTCCTGTTGGATTACTATTAAAGAAGGTGCCATCACTAGTAGGAACGCCGTCGTTGGAGTTTCAAGAGTCATGGGACAATGTTCTGGAATCTGCACAATCGCAGTTATTGGCCTTACTTGTCATACAGTATCGGGAATTGTTGATCGGAGAGGAAGAGAAGGCTTTTCATCACCTAAGTGCAGTACGCGCTAGTCTGACAAAGGAAGAGTTGGCCCATGTACAGGAGCAACTGCGGATTAAATGGAATCATCTTTACCAGAAAAGACGACGTAAACTTATTAGCATTTTGGCGAGAAATGGGAAAGAGTTTCGAGAGGATAACGTTGGTTTTCTCAGGACAACCGAACACCATGAGCATCATATATTTGATGGGAATGACTTGCCGTCAAAGGCCCCGGCGTTAGTCAACAAAGGATCATTATCAACTGATTCAGCGCCATTGAGGATTGGTGTTGGGGAAATGAATTGGCTGTCAGAGGAGGGACGCATTACGGGTAGGTTTGTCAGCACAAATGTTGTCAACCTTTCGAAGAAGGAGCTGTCGGAAGATGATGTTTCTCTGCTATCCAAAGGCCTCAAGTTTTGCCCAACACCAAAGGAAATAGACAAAGCGGAACTGAGAGCGGACCTTGAGGAGTTCAAACGAAGAATGAGGTTAAAATGGCATTTTAAGGACAACAATAAGACAGAAAAACAGTTATTTAAAAATAGGTCTAACTGGCAGCCCCCTAAGAATAACCTTCTTCTTGAGAACTATCTTTCGCTGGTGGAGAATGAGGTGCTGTCTGTCTCACCGGAGGGTAAGAATTTTAGTAATCTCTCTCCTTCAGAACTCTCTTCACTCGATAAGCTTAAATGTGATAAGGACATAATTATAAAAGAAGCAGATAAGGGTTCAGCGGTTGTAGTTTGGGATCGGGGGGACTATATAATGGAGGCTAACCGACAATTAGACGATAGGCAGGTATATGAAGAGGTTGAGGTGGATCCCTCTGTAGAACTGGGTAAGACCATAAATGATAAGTTAAAAGAAATAAGGGAGGCGGACCCGGCGTTAGATGAAGTGGCTGGCTATTTAGAAGTTAACAATCCTAGGTTAGGTAGATTTTATTTGTTGCCTAAGATTCATAAGGGTCTTAGTAATGTAAAGGGGCGTCCAGTCATTTCAAATTGTGGTACATTAACCGAACATGTTTCAGAATATCTAGACTACCACCTCAACCCGTTGGTTAGCCAAAGTAGGTCTTATGTTAAAGATACTAACCATTTTTTATCTAGGATAGGAAGTATAGGAACTATACCAGAAGGGGCAATTTTATGCACTGTTGATGTTGTGGGACTCTATCCTAGCATTCCACACGAGGAAGGTTTAGAGGCCGTAAGGGAGGCGCTGGATAGACGGGAAAATCCAGGCGTGGCTACTGACACATTAGCTGGGCTCGCTTCCTTAGTATTGGAGAATAACTATTTTGAATTTAATGATAGGTTTTATAAGCAGAAGTTAGGTACGGCTATAGGCACGAAGTTCGCTCCGGCCTATGCCAATCTTTTTATGACTAGGTTAGAGGAGAGGTTGATGGATACCTTCGCCGACAAGCCCCTTGTCTGGATGAGATTTGTCGATGATATTTTCTTTATCTGGACACACGGGGAGGATAGGCTGAAGTTATTCATTGACCATCTCAACAGTAGCCACGACACAATTAAGTTTACCAGTGAACATTCTACAGAATCTATTAGTTTCTTAGATGTCACGGTAAAAGTAGGAGAGGGGGGAGTCCTTATGACAGACTTATTTTGTAAGCCAACTGATACCCATCAGTTCTTACATAAGAAGTCTTGTCACCCTTGGCATACAAAGAAGGCGATCCCCTATAGTCAGGCTCTTAGGTACCGTAGGATTTGCTCAGATGATCGCCAGTTTAAGGAACATGTAGGTAAACTCGCTGGATGGCTTAAGGATAGGGGGTATGAAGAGTCCCTTGTTAATCAACAAATAGATAGGGTACGTAGGCTAGATAGGGAGACTCTTCTGGAAAAAGCGGGAAGTAGGAAAACCAACGAAGGGAGGGCTGACAGGGTTCCACTCGTGACTACATACCATCCGGCACTTAATGGTTTGGGGAACATTGCCAGGAAACACCATACCTTGCTCACTGGTTCAGAAGAGCACAAGGAGGTGTTTCCTGTGCCACCAGTAGTTGCTTTTAGGAGGTGTAAGAATCTTAAGGATATTTTGGTGAGGGCTAGGCTTACAAGTGGGAGGGAGAAGGGACACAATAACAGGGGAAGTTCGTGTTGTAAGAAGTCCAGATGTCAAGTGTGTAAAGTCATGTCTAACAGCGATAATTTTAAGTCTAGCACTACAGGTAAACAATATAAGATCAACTATTCGTTTAACTGTGACTCGTCCAATGTTGTGTACTTAATTGAGTGCAATGTCTGTGGAGTCCAGTATGTAGGTAGCACATGCACGCCTTTTAGGCTTAGGTTTAATAATTACAAGGCGTGTAGTCGTAAGTTTAATTTAGGGTCTTCAGTGCCCCAGATGGAATTTTTCAGACATTTTTCTGAGGAAGGACATCAGGGGTTTCTGAATGACATAAGTGTTAAGGTCATAGATAGGTTAACAGGTAATGATAGGAGGAGAGAAAGTTTTTGGCAATATCGCTTGAATATTTTCTCTCCGATGGGTCTCAATACTAGGCAGGTAGATACATAGGACATTTATATATTCTTCTACAGTTTTAAATTTTTAAAAGTTTTTTTTTTATATTTTTAATTTTTAATGTCGGCTCTTTTGTTTATAGCTTATCTTCTCGTTATTTTGTTTTTTGCTTTTATGGCTTTCATCTATCTCTTGTGAGACAGCCAACACCAGCATCTCCATCACATTCTTTCTTCTACCTTTCTTTTCACTTCTCTCCCAGTTCCCCATAACAGTTTGTATTCTAACACATTTGACAATATGTATTGTATTAGGCAGGTGCCCCTTATATTAGGTTTCTATTGTATTGTAGTGTTCTATTGTAATTTAGGTTGATAAGTAGGCTCCTCTGATTTTGTAAAGTTATTACTGATGAAGCGAAAGCGAAACGTCTTACGAAAGTGTTTTCTTTGATTCTATATATATGTATATATATATATAGTTTGAAGAGGCTGACAAATTCTTAATCTTTCCTCTGGAAATTCATTACCATATGCATGAAAATTCAAACCTGACATAAATTCAGTCTGTTGTTAAAATTTTTGTATCTCTGTTTGTTCAAGGTTGCAAATGAAAGAGGAAATGATAATATTCGTAACTGGATACCAGCAATCAGAAATCATTTTTGGTACTGTTCTGAAACCTGCAATGGAAATTTAGATGTATTTAAGGTAACAATCTATTGAAATTGGCATTACAACTTTTGCTCTCTATTAACATGCTTTCTCGTGGCTAAGAATAAAAACCAAATATTTTTGTCTCTCAGAAAAGACTCACAGAAAAGGTTCTGGTTTGGTTTCCAAAACCTGAAATGAATTTATTATTTTTGGAGGGTTATCATATTAAACAATGTAAAGTATAATTGCTTAGCTTGTTTGAGCAAATACTTAAGCAACATTCCTTACTACTCTGAAAACCTCAAATAGGTTTTTGTGTACAAGTGTGTATTTATTTAATATGTATGTATACTAATATAGGCCTTTCAAAAATGTTTTTGAGGATTCGTCTTTCTGTTAAAAGTATGGATAAGCAAATAAATTGAAGTTGATGCGAGCTTTTTTGTGATATCAATTTCACAGGACAAATGGCTTAGCCTGCTAAAGCATCTGTGCAATATGCACTACCAATGCAATCACGGATGCCTTGATACCACAGGGAGAGCAGACTGGTTTTCAGCTACTGATTCCGACTTCCAGCAAATAAGGGGAATTATTCTTGACAAGAAATTCCTAAATAGCCTCAAATTCTACACAGATTTCAGGTAAGCAGAAGTTTTGTAACAAGAGATATCATGAATTTCACACGACTATTTGAATTGAAGCTGGGCCTTGTTTCTAAAATACATATAGAATACAAACCAACAACCTTTATTCATTGAACAAAAGTTTATAAAACACCTGCGAAACACTTTTTCATTTAAGAATACTTATCCCTTTTGCAGGCACACAGGTCAACTTGAAGTGTTTCACAACCATCTTCTGATGTATTGTCCCAAACGTGTTTTCTTCAAGTAAGTGCTACACTTATAAGGATGTTGGGATAGTTTTAATTTGGTTCAAACTTCAGACATTACAAAAAATACTATTTTTGCATTGTTGTTTTTTAATAGAAAAATGTCTATGTATACATTCTTTATATTTTGTTCACCATGTATTATATTCACAAAACATCACAAAGACATTTTCACACTATAGTGGGATGCAAGTAAATTGCTTTTCTTGGGAGACCTCAATTTATGTGCAATTTGGCAAATGATAATGTTAAAAATAAAGCATTATTATGCAATTTTCAAAATTGTTCTTCCAGCTATCCTGCTTACAAAGTGCGTAACAGGCTTGCATTGATTGATCACAATCATCACTGCAACCGTTTGCAAGCAAGAAATGAAAATGGAGATCTCCTGTATTCACGTCGTTGGAGTAAAAAAGCTGGCAGGTGGATCCCAACCATAACTAAGGAGCCTAAGGATTATTCCTACGTATCAAGATTGCTGGCAGCAGTTATGAACAAGCGACGAAATGATAGTG